TCAACCATTTAAAACATTGATGACTCTACCCGCAGTTCATTGTGCTGTTAACAGATGCATTAAAACTAAATTAAAGGATAGTTGTGACTGATTGGAGAATAACCAAGAGGACGACATACTCCTGTCGACGGTGGTACAGCAACACGTCAGGCTATCTCTACTGGCCACAGATAGCACTGTCGGCCATGGTACAGCAACACGTCAGGCTATCTCTACTGGCCACAGGTAGCACTGTCGGCCGTGGTACAGCAACACGTCAGACTATCTCTACTGGCCACAGGTAGCACTGTCGACTGTGGTACAGCAACACGTCAGGCTATCTCTATTGGCAACAGGTAGCACTGTCGACCGTGGTACAGCAACACGTCAGGCTATCTTTACTGGCCACAGGTAGCACTGTCGGCCGTGGTACAGCAACATGTCAGGCTATCTCTACTGGCGACAGGTAACACTGTCGACAATGGTACAGCAACACGTCGGGCTATCTCTACTGGCCACAGGTAGCACTGTCGACCGTGGTAAAGCAACATGGCAGGCTATCTCTACTGGCCACAGGTAGCACTCAGTCGACAGTGGTACAGCAACACGTCAGGCTATCTCTACTGGCCACAGGTAGCACTGTCGACCGAGGTACAGCAACATGTCAGGCTATCTCTACTTGCCACAGGTGGCACTGTGGCCGTGGTACAGCAACACGTCAGGCTATCTCTACTAGCCACAGGTAGCACTGTCTACGGTGGTACAGCAACACGTCAGGCTATCTCTACTGGCCACAGGTAGCACTGTCGACCGTGGTACAGCAACATGGCAGGCTATTTCTACTGGCCACAGGTAGCACTCAGTCGACCGTGGTACAGCAACACGTCAGGCTATCTCTACTGGCCACAGGTAGCACTGTCGGCCGTGGTACAGCAACACGTCAGGCTATCTCTACTTGCTACAGGTAGCACTGTCGGCCGTGGTACAGCAACACGTCAGGCTATCTCTTCTGGCCACAGGTAGCACTGTCGGCCGTGGTACAGCAACACGTCAGGCTATCTCTACTGGCCACAGGTAGCACTGTTTTTTCTCTTACCCTGTTCTCCCATCAATCCATCAACGTCACGTCAACCCTGAATTTAGCATGTGACGTTAACATTACATTTTGAATATGATACATAATGGGTGAATAGGGTTAGAGAAAAAGAATCATTCACTCCCTTGGAGATAGAATGTTGAACCTTATATAAGCTCTCCAGTAACAAGTAGCATACCCTACAATCTCTCCAATGACAGGTAGACTACTGAATCTTATATAAGCTCTCCAGTAACAAGTAACATACCTTACAATCTCTCCAATGACAGGTAGACTATTGAATCTTATATAAGCTCTCCAGTAACAAGTAACATACCCTACAATCTCTCCAATGACAGGTAGACTATTGAATCTTATATAAGCTCTCCAGTAACAAGTAACATACCCTACAATCTCTCCAATGACAGGTAGACTATTGAATCTTATATAAGCTCTCCAGTAACAAGTAACATACCCTACAATCTCTCCAATGACAGGTAGACTATTGAATCTTATATAAGCTCTCCAGTAACAAGTAACATACCCTACAATCTCTCCAATGACAGGTAGACTATTGAATCTTATATAAGCTCTCCAGTAACAAGTAACATACCCTACAATCTCTCCAATGACAGGTAGACTATTGAATCTTATATAAGCTCTCCAGTAACAAGTAACATACCCTACAATCTCTCCAATGACAGGTAGACTATTGAATCTTATATAAGCTCTCCAGTAACAAGTAACATACCCTACAATCTCTCCAATGACAGGTAGACTATTGAATCTTATATAAGCTCTCCAGTAACAAGTAACATACCCTACAATCTCTCCAATGACAGGTAGACTATTGAATCTTATATAAGCTCTCCAGTAACAAGTAACATACCCTACAATCTCTCCAATGACAGGTAGACTATTGAATCTTATATAAGCTCTCCAGTAACAAGTAACATACCCTACAATCTCTCCAATGACAGGTAGACTATTGAATCTTATATAAGCTCTCCAGTAACAAGTAACATACCCTACAATCTCTCCAATGACAGGTAGACTATTGAATCTTATATAAGCTCTCCAGTAACAAGTAACATACCCTACAATCTCTCCAATGACAGGTAGACTATTGAATCTTATATAAGCTCTCCAGTAACAAGTAACATACCCTACAATCTCTCCAATGACAGGTAGACTATTGAATCTTATATAAGCTCTCCAGTAACAAGTAACATACCCTACAATCTCTCCAATGACAGGTAGACTATTGAATCTTATATAAGCTCTCCAGTAACAAGTAACATACCCTACAATCTCTCCAATGACAGGTAGACTATTGAATCTTATATAAGCTCTCCAGTAACAAGTAACATACCCTACAATCTCTCCAATGACAGGTAGACTATTGAATCTTATATAAGCTCTCCAGTAACAAGTAACATACCCTACAATCTCTCCAATGACAGGTAGACTATTGAATCTTATATAAGCTCTCCAGTAACAAGTAACATACCCTACAATCTCTCCAATGACAGGTAGACTATTGAATCTTATATAAGCTCTCCAGTAACAAGTAACATACCCTACAATCTCTCCAATGACAGGTAGACTATTGAATCTTATATAAGCTCTCCAGTAACAAGTAACATACCCTACAATCTCTCCAATGACAGGTAGACTATTGAATCTTATATAAGCTCTCCAGTAACAAGTAACATACCCTACAATCTCTCCAATGACAGGTAGACTATTGAATCTTATATAAGCTCTCCAGTAACAAGTAACATACCCTACAATCTCTCCAATGACAGGTAGACTATTGAATCTTATATAAGCTCTCCAGTAACAAGTAACATACCCTACAATCTCTCCAATGACAGGTAGACTATTGGATCTTATATCAGCTGAGATTTATATAATCTCTATAATGACAGGTAGCGAGAGATTAGTATAACCTCTTTGGTAATAGGTAATTCAGTAACACAGGAATTGTAGCCAGTGAATGAAACTTACTGGGACTGTATAGCCACAAGTCTCGACCTTAGACGGCCTGGCCTTAAATGATGTCAAAAGTGTGACTCAGGCTTGCAAAAGGCCCTATCAATGTAATACACCCATTATATACTAATTTGAGAAGTTTTCTGACAACAGTTCCACATTAGGTGATGCCAACTCCGTGTCTGCAATATTGTATTGCTAGTACATTGTCCATGTCTGTTGATTAGCCAACAAAGACAGAATTTTATTGCTACAAAATAACCTTCGGAGAATTTCCATTTCTTTCTAATCGCACTTTCCAATTCTTTCCTGCCCTTTTTATAGAGCATTATCAGGAAAAACAAATTTAGGACTTATTGACAATTCTCCCTGAAGTGGCCATGCACCAATTTACAAATCTATGGAGTGGTGACAGAGTGCACTTAGAAGGAATTGAATATATTAACATTTTATATTGAATACAGGGACTGGTTACGAATGCAAGGCACCTCCACATATAATTGTATAACTCTAGCACACACAATCAATGATTTATAACAAACAACTAAACTATAAGGGTTTTAACAAATCTCTTGGTTGAAGGGAGATAACTCCAACACTAAGATCTTTTCCATAGCTCCTTTGGGCTAATTTGTCAATGGTATCTAGAATGTACCATAATTATCATAATGCTTTATAATTACGAAGAAACCATAGACATATAAGCATTAGGTAAAGGATTGGAGTCAGACATGCAATAGTAATTCTGCCATAACCGACCCACTTTCTGCTTGTATTAATCTTTTGAAAAGAAAGTTATTGTTATGTGTTTAATACAACTTTAAAGCATTTCCTCAGGTTCTTTAATTTTAGCAAAGATAATAAAGTTCTATCCATGAAATATAAATGTAGATAAATTCAGGCTAACAGTGAGTTGTACACAGTATACCATCTCTTATCTTCCCCAGATCGTTTTACTATTCTTCAAGTCCAATAATTAAAAAAAATAAAAAAATCTGAAAGTTTTTGTTTGCAAACATATTTCCAATAGAAATCAGATGTAAACTTGTCTGACAGGTGTGACAATGAAACTGTAGCTTCAAACTAATTCCCCATGTACCTGTGAATAATTCACTAATATTAAGACACCAGCAGAAACTAATTTATTTTGAAAAAGTGATATATTTCCAAAAGTGATATATTTCCTTACCTTTTTTTAGCTTTAAACTAAGAAATTGGAGTGACCTGCAGGCTACAGATTTTTTTTTTTAAATTGTATCAAAACAACACATATGACATTTCTGTGCCAAAAATTGTGACCCGTTTGATTGAATGTATACTAATGTCATCGGAATCGCATGACACCAACACTTTACATGTGCACTTCTCACAAAGCTGCCTGTTTGCCATTTGAATATCTAGGTAGACTGGAGCAAACAGGGTTAACTCATTCACCCCTGCATATCTAAACTGGACTAGGGATCTGAGTTAGGCCTAGGAATGAAAAGCAGGATACCTGTGATGGTACTATATGGTCCACAGATCTAGAAGTGTATTGTGTTAAGCAATACAAGTGCATGTATACAATTCCTAATTATGATTTTAACAACAGTGGGTAGGTGTGTAACACGGTACAAGGCATATATCCTCCGAACCTCTCCTGGTGGTAGTCACACTATAACTAAAGGCATCACCACTACAGTACGCACACCTATCTGATTGTAAATGTAACAAGCTGTTTGTTGATTAAACCAGAGAGCAATTTCTGCTTTAATTAGGGCAATGAAATCCATTCATGAAAACAACGACAATCCTGTTACAACACACACACATCCCTCCTCCAATTTAAAAATCTCACCAAAAAAAAAATGTGATTTCAAAAAAATATAAATCTGTATGCATTTAATTAACGTATCCTTCCATTTTCCCCTTTTTTAAAGTAAATAAAATACCTGAACATAAAATGACTTACCTTGTTGTTGGTTTGTGTTAGAAGTTAAAAATGTCCAGTGTTGCAAAAATCCATTTCACATAAGAATGAAAATATATATATAGGTCCAGTTAAATCCCAGTCTTACTCCACTCAGAAAAAAAACAGTTTTCTTCCAACTTCCTCTTCAGAAGAATTAGTAATTACCAATCATTTGAAGAATCTGGAAAAAAAATAAAAAAAAATCAGTTTGGTAATATTGATCCAAAGAATTGGGGAGAATATGTAAGTTGTTTTGTGAACATTCTGATAACAGCAAAAATTCCCCTGATATAATATGAGTTAATATTCGTTAAATCTCTTAATGTAGGGGAGATGTTATCATTACGGTCAAGCTTCAACGGAACTGATGTTACCAGAATATTACAAAATATTATATACAGTAAAGACACAAGTAGTAAAAGGTTTACAAGTCACGAAATCCTACAGAAAGCAAGTTTCTATAAAGTCCCCTGTCAGGGTGTCCTTTCAGTAAGAAATACACATATAACACAACTTTCTGCAACGAAATGTGGAAAAAAAATCTCCAGACTTCAAACACAACCTTTTAACAACAAAAGAGAAAAAAAACCTGCCAAGTGCACATATACACACATGTTAGAGGGTAAGGCCCAGGTAAAGAATACACTACTTTTGACAATATAAAATAAACAGTGTATATATTCTCCTCCTCACACAGCCTCCGTACCAGATGGACTCCACACCAGCCAGGAGACCAGATAGGCTAAATGAGCTTTGGCCTTTGCATATCTCCCTGGAATTTATCCTTTTCACTAATACTATTTTGTTATCTGGAGGTTTGTCTTCCTACAGAACAAACGCCATCAATTTGTGTGACTGTGATGTTTTTGTTTCTCTGTCGGAGTGGCGGAGTGTTGGTTTACTATCGGCGGATCAGCTTCCCCCTATAACTGTTAACACACACTAAGAGTCTCTGGACTCATTTTATGTAATTGTTTTAAATCTGTTTTTTAATCTCCTCAAATATTTATGACCACACTTTATCCAAGGCTACGTGTTGCAAGTTGTTCTGAAGTGCCAGATATCTCTGAACGCTCAGCAAGTATGTCATTCCATCATATCTCAAACATTTTCAAATCTGATAAATTCCCAAAAAGTATGATTTATGTTGAATATAAAGGTCAACGTGTTGAACATGTATTTGATCCTGGAGAGAGAGCATAATCCTCCGTCTCAGCATCTCCTGTGATTTATGTAAATTACAGAGGTCACCACTCGACAGGAGCTATAAGTAATTATTCCCATGAAACAGTGCATGCACATTTTAAAGTACATGGTTTATTTAAATCAGAGGTCAAGTTGCCTGACATGTACTTGACCCTAAGATTTGACCCCTTGCCACCTGTTGTGCAAGTCGAGGACATAAAAACTGTTTCTTTATTAGGTTTTTCTGTTGGGGATTATCATAGGGTAGGATGATGTATTCCAGTCATGGTGCCCTGCCGATCTAACATCCTGATCTGGTTACCCTACCTCTATAAATCACAGTCTCTATATATCCCTGGGAGAGGGGGAGGGGGAGTCATAGGGAAAATAATGGGGGGAGGGGGAGGGGGAGGGGGAGCAGGAAGATATGTCAACCCTTCCCTTACAAGAAAGTCAGAAGAAGTTTGACTCCATTCAACTCTATAAAAATTCTTTTCTACAGCCAGGGGTAAATATTTACATCACAGAAAATAATTTGTTACCAAAATGTTTGGAGTTCTTTAAGGGTCTAGAATTGTTTCAAAAGACTTGTTTTTGTGTTTATGAAAGGCCGATTTGAGTCTGGCAGCCTCTGCCTAGGGGCTGAGAGAATTTCTACAGAGTATATGGTAGCTAGGACTAATAATGATTGGGTTATATCTAAAGTATGAAGGAGGGCAAGAAATAGCCCATAACATCTATCATTAGCGCCCTTATCCCAGATTCCAGTTCCTTTACTGGCAAAGGTCAAAGAATACAGATTCCCTCCCAAAATATTTCTCATTAAATTTCATAGAGTGCCAAGACGCTTTATTCGATAAGAAAGACTAAATTGACATTTTTTTTTCCCGAAGCATACTTAGTACTGAAAAATAAACCAAAATCTTCAAATATGTTAAACTTCATTGAAGACCATTATTGATTTGACTAAAACAGTAAAACAACAACAAAACAGCATCAGGTTTTTTATTCTCACAAACTGAACCTGGAAAATAGACAGCTGGTTCTTTACAACATGGGTTCGTTTGAAATCACAGCTTGATTAAGGTGTAAGATCTTGTTTACATTCAGGTAGGTTACCACATTATTCCTTGTTCTATCCCATCACTGTCATCTGGGAGCAAAGGATTTGTGTGGAGTAGAAGGGAAGCATTACTTCAGGACGCAAGGGAGTGGGCCCCCATCTGTTTTGATAATGCAAGCACCTGTCTTGTGATACAACTTGTATCTAAACATAACACCCCTTTCTTAGGAAATACATTTCTGCTCACAATACTTGTGTGGTGGAGTACCTGTATTATAAGACCACTTGCTTGAAAACAATTATAATGTGATAAAATAAGTTTTAAAATGGTCTGTTCTGTGATACAAAATGTGTAATTGGCAAAGAAGCGATTTTGAGTCAACACGTCACTTCCAATTACGACACATATATACACATAGCAGAACTGGGATTTATAGCTCAACATCACCACTTCCTCATTAGTCTTTAGCAATGGTAGCCATGTGTAGAAGTGCAACAACATGCAGTGCCATGAAATGAAATGCATATCTGAACCACTTTGGCACTCTGCTGCCATTCTCCAACGCACACCTACTTAAGCCATCTGATCATACGTCAAACTCTGATAGAAAAAGACCCCTACTTAAGGCGTCCGACAACAGTGCGTCAAACTCAAAGACAAAACCTGTCCTATCTGACACCCCACCCGTACTAAAGACATCTGACAACCATATGTCAATTCAAAACACTTTTTAAAAGTTTCTCATCATGATTATGAAACTAAACTGAGATAAAAAAAAAAAAGATAAAAAAAAAGAGTATCGCGGGGCGGAACAAAATACGCCCGTCGAATGCCATATAGTGTTATATACTTTCTGACATTGAAATAAGATCTGCATCAGTGGTTAGCTGATACACTATAAAAAATGTAGGAGAAAATCTTCCGACAAAAAATCAAATACTGAAATGAACAAAAGGCAATAAATTTTGCAAAAATCATTGAATCAAAATTCTTTTAAGGGAGACACAACTTCATAACATGATTATAAAGTACACCAAGTGTCAAAGAGATCCGTTGAAAAATGTGGGAGGAGATTGCCGGACAAAATAACTCATTGAAAAAAAAATGAATCAATTTGTGGGAAAATCACTTTTATAACTGAACGTATTGGAGCATACACAGGAACATTTTGAATATGAAAATTATAGATTTACATGTGGGAAATATGGGCTTGATAACCATCTATTTCAGCAGAAGATATATGAGTAACTTATCAGGCTGTTAAATTATTCAGGGATCACTGCTAGATAAAATTGCTGTGCTGTATCATTTTACAAGAATAAATAGGAATGCTTTCGTTTTTTATACACAAAAATTGTAATATATGAGTTTTGAATTTGGATATAAAAGTATTGATCTAGGAGAGACCTAACTTCAAAGTTTTTCATTTTCTACAGCATATGAGGTAATGAATATTTCTTGAACGTAAGCTTGTATATGATCTTAACCATGTTTTCATTATAATCCTTCTATTTAACAGATTTCTTTGGTATACTAAGGATAAGTCCGTGTGAAATGCACTCTCAGAATCTATCACTCAATTCAAACACCACATCTGACTCGCATGCAAGCTTGTGAGGTGATGCAGATCTATAGTACATAAACCTACAGAATCATTACTTGATAAGATATAAGTTGTGTCAGGAAAACCAGCTCTGAATCCAGTTTGCATGCAAGTTCAGTAGGGTCAGAAGAACGTTTGTTTCTAACTAGGCAATAAATGAAAATTGTTTAAGCTTGTTTTGTACCCTACAACTAGCCGATACCGATCTCTGTAAAAGGTGATTTATTTTCATAATTATGACATTGTTCATCAACTTAATCGTGAAAAACTGGCTTAATTTGGTAACCATGACAACCATCATTTCATTCACATGTCCACCATATTCCTATACATGCCTCAGAAAACGATTTCTTAAAATTGCAATATCATTAATTACTTCAAAAACTGGAGGATAGCGATTGATTAGGTCTGGTTTACCAGTCAATAAGTGTATCGCTGCAGGCTTAAAAACACAAGCTGATTTGCAGTAATTGCTGAAGCTTGCTACGATGTCTTGAAATTCTTTCGCAGAGATAAAAGTAAAATTGACAGAACATCGTTTGCCACTTAACGCCTGACAAAGGTACATGAGGTACAAATTAAGGTGTTTTATCATTGGACCACACACTCCTGCTGCGTAACACCAATCCAACCATTTAATCTGGCAGGTGTGTATACAAAGCACACCTGTAGTTACAAATGTAGATTATTACCTCCTCCAGAACATACAAATCCCTATCCTTACCTCGTTGAACATGCTAAAGCAGCCCAAAACTCAAGTAAATTCGCACTGCATTTTAAAACATTCTTTCCTGTAGTTAAAGAAATAAAGGTAAAAGTAACAAAATATTTAATTAAGAAACAACACTGTAATAGTCAAAGTGATGTCCCTTGAATAATAATCAATTTACATATGTAAACTAGAAGAATTTCCTGTCTTGCCTTTTTCACATGAATTCCCATTATTATAACAAATGTGTCATCAATTTGATTAAATATTGTTTGTTACAGATATTTAGATAATTTTCTGATATTGGAACATGTGTTTAATGAACATGTTACATATGTCCTTTAACAACAAGTAAAACATGGCCAATAGTGATAAGTAAAATGTGTCTTATTACAGCAAGAAAATCAAAAGACAGTCTGGTCAGAACCTATAAGTATCATTTCTGATATACCTCAGCATTCTAAACCGGAAATTACAAGATCTACTTACAAGTACTTCCCATGTGGGAAGCCAGAACCCAGATCTACACCAGACAGAAGTAGAATTGCTACATATCTTTACGGCTGTATCAGGTTCCCAGTATACCCTATTGTATTCGTTTCAATGCCAAGAAATGATAA